ATAATTACACGTCTGGAAGACTGCATTGATGGGAATTGGTCGATTTGGCTTTGGCCAACCGATCAAGGGGTGTTCAGGATGAACATACTCAGGAAGTCAACGACGAATCCCTGTTGTGAAAATTCTTGTTAGCTATCAATTCTTTGATCAATTGCGTGCCATCGCGTCAAAACTCCAGAATCCCGATTTCCTGATGCTTGCGATGATTCTTTCGATGGCATCGATGCCATACGATCCATCGTAACCAGGAAGCGCGTGATCCGAAGTTTTGGCCAACACAGCTAGGAGCAATAGCAAGGCAACTTACGGGCATGCCGAAAACGGACTTGTCGCCCTGGTTAACGGACATCTTGGCGGCTGTGAAGAATGAAAACTAAACAACCAAGAGAGGAGATGGATAAGAGAGTGATGAAAGAAAGAAGAGAAGAAAGAAGGGAAAGGGAGAAAAAATAGCGAGCGAAGGCTCTTGTAAGCGGGAAGAAGCGAGCGGAGACGCTAAGACCGCTTTAGGATACGCTGGCCAATTTCGCAGTGGCAGCGACCGGCAGTCCAGGGAGGAAGGGGAGAAAAAAAAAAAAAAGAAAACTGGAACCGGCGCTAATGCTGGCCCAGGCAACCTGAGCCGATATCTCCCGATCGCTCCAGAAACCGTCCCGACTGATTTTTGTCCAGGTGAGATACTCCCAAACAAGATGGGAAAAAATTCTAGATTAATTGGCTTTGATAATTACTATCAAGAACTATTGAGTTGATTTTCTTTAGACAGAACCTGTTTCTATAATATGTTTTTCGTCTAGGGGGGGGCTCCCATCGCTGTTAGATTTTCTCGGATGCATACCGAATCGGTCGTTTTGATACTGTACTCCGTACAGAGAAGGTTCAAGGTTCCCATAGTCCTTGGGAATTTTCCCTCCCTTTCCCATTTCCCCGTGACCGAACCAACAAACAATTGGAGCCTCTCCGCTCAGAAACAGACGCTCACACACCCACACCCACATGGGGAAGTCCGCCTTCTTCCCTTTGGTCCCGAGTATCCGATGGCAAATCAAATTTTAATCGGCAGCGGACATCGACTCCTTGGCCTGACTTTTGTCTTCGCCATACGGAAAAATGAACTAGGCAAGTTCAAGGTGATCACTAAATCTCTTTGCCGTTCCGTACCATATAGCTGTATGAAATTCGTAATTGTCTCTGAAGCTAACGTCGGTCGTGTGCGCCGCCGGCTATCGGTTGCCATGGCGTTCGAAACTTCGTACACCGTCTGAAGAGCACTTTGATATCTTGAATATTACTCCGGACTAGTCAATTTCATCCTATTTCTCCCATTCGCCGTCTCCTCAAGCTTCGATATTCCTTGGTCTCAGCATCCATAGCTTGCAGGGCTGATGATGGCTAAATCCCTCATTTCCAGCTATTCACTCCCAAGGTTTCTCATATGTACTGTACCTCAAACTACCTCGGATATCAATAGGTACTATTGATACATACGTGTCCAAGCAAATTCTACCAAAAGAATTTCAGACCTGTCATTACGAGAGATATGAAATTTTACGCTTGGTCAATTTATTCTTATCATGCCCATTTCCGCATCAACACTGGGCCAAACATTGTTCTTAGTATAATTATTAGCTATAAATATTCGTAGTCCAAAGAAGACACGATGTCAAGAGGACGGTTCCATACGGATCCACACGGCTTCCTTTTTTTTTTTTTGTTTTTTTAAACTCTCCAAATCATTTTCTCCTTTTCATGACGGGGCAACAAAGCTAGTGGAAAACTCCTCAGTCGCCCGTTGTAACAGAGACCCACCAAACATGGGGGTCCATCTTTCGTTATGAATGTTCACAGCATCAATCACTTACTCGCCATCCTGGTCATAGTTAAAATTGCCTGGTTTTGTAAAACAAGCAGGGCTTGAGCCCCAGGCCCAAGGACTCGGATTATTCCGTCAAGGAAGAGAGAACTTGCCACTTCTTTTTTTCGATTCTGGACTCGTAAAAATCATTCATTCTACCGAATTGCCACCTTTCGGATACTGCTTGGCAAACGCTCGGTGGCGGTCGAGAGCCAGATTTTACGGCTTCAGCTGGACAGAAAATGCTCTTGGTATACTCCGTACAGTACATACACACAAACAAATTTAAACATAGTCCATCGGAACCTGATGTATAGAAATGCAATGGTATTAACAACTTCTCTACAGGCATTGACAATCCCTACTTTCCTTCATATATATCATGCATCGCTCACGTGCGAACCTTCTACTTCTGGCATATTCAAAGACCCATTTATTCTTTTGGTAATCCCGATAAATACAAATGCAACTCCACATAATGAAAGATATCAAACGTCCCGGATGTAGATGGAACTCCAATGCTAGAAGTAATTAAGCGCTAGGCTTGCTGTCAGACACAATTAGTGCTTCTTCGACCTCTTTCTCTTCTTTCTTCTGGGTTCTCCCTCCCGGATATCGACATTTCCAGCATCAGTGGCATCTTCTTTCTCGTTAACCGTTCTTTCACCACCAAAAACAAACGCTGGACCATCTTCGTTGCCGAATGTATCCTTGCGCCATTGCCTCAGACGAGCTTTCTTGCCCAATTTCTTCTGATCGCGACGCTTCTTCTCCGGATCACGGAAGGAAGCAAGTTTCTTCAATCCGGCATACTCGTTGAGCTGGGTATCCTCAGCCATCAGAATGTCTCGTGCAGTCAGACCGAAACTGTTTGGAGATGTTTCACGGTAGCGGAAATGGCCCTGATGCTTCTTTGCACCGGGGAGAAGGTTAATATCCAGATCCAGATTACGATCCACTGCCTCTTCAATGCGTAGTCGATCTTTGCGAGCTTCACGCTTCTGATCCCGCCTCTCCTGCGCTTTGCTCTTTTTGTTTTTGGATGCGCTCTCATCGCCCTCGGCGTCGTCTGCATCATCCATCTCAACATCGGACTGCGGTAGGTCAGGTTTCTCGTCGTCATTGTCAAAGTCTGGTACAAGATCTTTGATATCGATATCATCATCCAAGTGGGCTTCTTGGGTTTCTTTTTACCATCACCTTCTCCAGCATAATAATCTTCGCCAAATCGCTTTTGCATCTCTTGCTCCCACTTTTGGTCATCCCAGGAATCGTCCAAGAACTTGGCCCATTCTTCGTCAGTGAACTCGGATGCGCGGAGGCCTGCGACTTCCTTGATTTGGTTGACCTTCTCTTGGAGCTCTTCCATCTTAAGCTTGCGCAGTCGGTTCTTTTCCGTTTCACGTTGCTTCTTTTCCTCTTCCTTTTTCAAGCGCTCCGCCTCCCTCTGCTTCTTCCTGCCGCTCTTATCATCTCTGCGAACTGATTGCTGGTTCGTGGCATCACGAGCGTGTGTAATCAACGCTGTGTTGATTTTGCTAGGGTCTTCGAAGCGGAAGTTGTATGCTTCTTCGAATGCCTCTGCCCGTGCATCATCCTCTTCATCATCGGACTCGAGAGGCTGAAGGTCTGCTCTGCCAGCAGGGATCCATGCCCTAGCTGACAGAAAGTTGGACAGGAAAGTCTCGGGATCTTTGTCCGCATTTTCAATGTCCAGCTTGACGTCCTTCTTCGGCGCCGATACGGGCTCAGGGGCTGACTTGGCAACGAGGAAGTCTTCATCGTCGTCACTCTCCTTGTCGGCGGATGCATCCTCGTTGTTGGTAGCCGCATGCATTTCCCTGACAATTGCATTCTTCAAATCCTCTTGCTCCTGAGCATAGGTCTTTGGAGCTTCCGATGCATCTTCCTCTGCTAAGTTGGCGCCACTAAGTAGGTTCTCTCGGTGATAATCTTTGAGGGTCATGGTTTTCTGCTTCTTTTCAGAAGTTGCCGATTGGTCTTCGTCGACTTGACTATAGAATGTAGCGCTTTGGTCGTATACACGCGGATCCTTCGTCCGAATTGCCTTAAGGGTTGCCATAATTTCCGCATCAAGCGCTTCAGTAGCAAGTTCTCCGTCGTCGTCCTCTTCCTCAGAGGTCGACTCGTCAGAGTCACCGGACTCATCGTCGCCGCGTTTTCCAAAGGCAGAACCTTTACCTAATTTTGATTCCACTGCAGGCATTTCCATTCTTAGTACTCGTAGATACGTAGGAGCATGAGACATATAAACGTACGTTTCTGCATTTCTTCTCTCTTCTTGTTGTGTTCAAATCGACGGGCATACTCTTCATTAACTTTGAAGGTAACTCCATTGTTGACAGGGACTCCCCCGGACTCATCTCCGGAATCACTGGAGCTGTCATCGTCAAAAAGCTTTCGCGACCTCTTCGCCGGTGGCTCCATATTTATGTCAAGTACCACTGATAGAATCAATAGCAATGTTTGTGCGAAGCCGACCGGTTCAACCAAGTCGCCATGCGCCCGGAAAAAAAAAAGTGATAGCAGGCGGCAGAAAAACCGCCCACTCTCACCGCCTCAATGTCCATGATCCACATTGTGCCTGAAGATCCAGGCTGCAAAACAAATCACTGACGTAGCCAATTAGATCATTCGTGAGACTTGGTTAATCCCCGAATGGAGTCGACGGAGGAGGCGCTCGCTCCAAGCTCCGGGACTATATGACTTCTACTTCCTTCTCTGACCCATACCCCTATTTGTTTCGAATGCCCCTTATATTGATAAATTGACTACTCTGGGGACCATTGCTTGTGTGTCCTCATCGCTATCTTTCCTCGAGTCAAGTGGATGGCCGGTGACATACACTAGATGTCGACCCAGCAACAGATCCCTGTGCCCCAAGTCGGGAAGCTCGTCAGTGTGGTGTGAGTTGTGCAAATATTGCATTCTATGGCTAGAAGCATCAATGATGATACTAACACTATCGATAAAGCCCAGTTGGACTAAAGGAGGCCGCACTCGATTCGCCGACATTCCGTGCCACCACGCTACACTTTGCCGACCAGATTGAGTTCCTAGAAAGATGGCTCGATGGTTATGCGAGGGCTGCTTCGAAGCTCTCTATGGAGCTAGCATCCATGGAGAGTATTGTTAACACCTTTCTGTCATATTCTACACACCCTGTCGCAGTCTCAGAAGCTGCTCTCGACCATGATTATACGCTACTGTCAATGAGGAGATGCGGGGATAGTTCAAAGGACTTGTGGAATGGGCTGGTGTCTACTTCAAAAAAGATTGAGATGCTGGTTGCAGAACCTATAAGGATCTTTATCCAAGAGGATCTGCGCAACTTCAAGGTGACCCTAGGACCACACAACCAGCGCCGGCCTATCAGTATCTAACCCCACTATAGGAGACCCGTCGAGTGCTCGACCAGACACAAAAACATTATGACTACCTCTTGTCTAGATATTCATCGCAATCTAAATCGAAGGAACCCTCGTCTCTGAGAGAAGACGCCTTTCAACTTCACGAGGCTCGCAAAGCTTACCTCAAGGCTTCGATGGACTTCTCGGTACAAGCCCCCCAAATACGAAATGGCCTTGACCGGCTCTTGGTAGGTGTGTCCTTTGACCAATGGCGGGAGTTTAAGACTTTCTTCCAAATAAACGGCGCAGGCTTTGCCAAGTGGGCCCATGAGATGGACAGGATAAAAGGTTGGGTACTTGAAATGGATGCAAGTGAAAGGTCTTCTAAGCGAGAGCTATTCTCTGCAAGGAAAGAAATTGAAGAAGCTGCAGAGACGGCGGCTAGACCTTCTCGTGAGCTTGAAGACTATTCTGTGTCCACCGTTCCTTACCTTGGGTCCCGCCCTTTATCGGATCTTAGCATGACGAAAGAAGCCCGGCCTGAAAAACAGGGATGGGTGTATCTGCGAACACTCTATGGCAAGCCTACACGGACTGCTTGGGTTCGACGCTGGATATTCTTGAAGAATGGCATATTTAGTTGCCTTGTGCAGGGTCCGCGAACTGGCGGTGTCGAAGAAAGCGAAAGAATTGGGGTTTTACTCTGTAGTGTTCGAGCGGCATTCCAAGAAGAACGGCGGTTTTGCTTTGAAGTGAAGACGAAAAGCAACAGCGTCATGCTCCAGGCAGAGACACAAAAGGAACTCATGGAGTGGATATCGGCTTTTGAGGCTGCTAAACGGAAAGCCTTGGAAAACCCAGCCAGTACAGATCTTTCAGTTTCTGGCAAAATTACTGTCCAAGATCCAGCCTTCGCAATTTCTCAACCTCCAGCTCCAGAGTTCACTGCTGACCCAGCGGATTCTTTAACACCTCACTCGCACGACGAACACAATTCGTCGGACCGCAATGGCATGCTTCCTCTCCCAGAAAGAGATCCGGCCTCTCTTCGAAGCAGTAGTGATATCAGCCGACGCCTCACTGGACTTGACTCCGAGACTTCCCCTAGAGAACATACATCTCGAATCATTCAGAAACTGGACCTCCACCGCAAAATGAACAACAATGTACAACCTTCTACATCCATACCAGGTGCTGGAGGTGGAATAGCCAGCCTTATCTCTGCTAGCCATAACACTATTGTCTCCGGTACCGCACTTCCGTCTAGTGTGGCAGACGGTGACCCGAACAGGGGACGCAGTATGTCCAACCGCTTTGATCCTCCCACAACCCTTGCTCCATCGACGCTAGCAAACCCGCCTGCACCTACAAGTATGAGCAGGGCGGCTGTTATTGTGAGCAATGAAAGAGGAATCGGGCTGGGACAAGCTGACAAGACTGGCGGCATGCCAAGCGGTATGATGGCGAACCTGTGGGGTAGTTCTAACTGGAGCTTTGTAAACAGGATTGAACTAGAACGCATGGGGTGCCCTGATACGGAACAGGATGCAGCCTCCCAACAACGACCATCCTCACGAATGAGTGACTCATCAAAGCATGTAATGTTAACAGAAGCGAATACCCCTAGTGGCACTGGGGCTAAGCAACACAAGATTGGTCCCCGCCATAGACAGACAGTTAGCCTGGACGGGAATGCATCCCAAGTGCAGCGTGCAGTCTTGGGAGTTACGCATGAGTATCCGAGTTACTATCCACAGCAGCTTAAGATTCAGGATGCCCAATTCCGGTTGCTTTTCCCGAACGTCAAAAAGGAGGAGCCTTTAGTGATGGTTTTCCGAGCTACATATGCTATGAATGATCAGCAAGAATTCCCTGGAAGAGCTTATGTTACGACCCGCGACTTATACTTCTATAGCCATTATTTTGGGCTTGTACTAACAACAAGTGTCTCGTTGGAGAGTATCAAAGAAGTAACAGCCGCTGCTGGGAGAGACTCCGACTTTTTATTTTTTCACACCGTTCCGAGGCCTGGTGAAGACATCCCAGGTCGAATTACGGTGAAAACTTTCCTCGAGCCATTGAAACTCCTCCAGAGACGTCTCAACTTCTTAATTGACGATACGACCGCTGTTGAACCTCTGGGGCTTGAAGCAATCTTTAATGCTCTCAGTAAAATGGAAGCAGATGCGGCAACACGAACTCCTAGCGTTGATAGCTGGGAAGACGTGGGCATGGACGAGAAACTTTCTGGAGTAGATGCTGCAGCTCCAGGGCCACGGAAGGATATTCGGCCGGCCATCTATATCGAGAAAGGCTTAGATATGCATTCGAAGAAGGGCAGCAACGGCAAGGATGTAATGAAGTTCAGATTGCCAACTCAACCCGTTCAATATGTTCCTCAAGGCAACCTTCATCTTGCAGCAGAGAAGGTATTTGATCTCAGCCCCAAGGCGGTTTTCCATATTCTTTTCGGCGACAAGAGTGCCGTCTGGCAGCTCCTTTTGCACCAAAGAAGGGCTCAAGGTAAGCTATATGAACCCGTATGGAAGGCAGAGCATTGCTGATAGTTTGAAGACATCAAGCAAGGACCTTGGTCTCGCAATGAATCTAACCATTTGAGGCGAGATTTCAAGTACCGAATTGAAACAACGAATATGCTTGGTATGTGAATCGACCTTTACGTGCTTTATAGAACTACAACTAATGTGCCATATACTAGGTCATAAGCACGGCCAGACCATATCCGATTATCAGATGATAGATGTCCTTAATGACCACCTGTGCTACGTGATAACGGACAAACGGACCCCTTGGCATCTTCCTTTCAAGCGCTCGTTCAGACTGGTCAGTAAGATTGTGATCACATTTGTCGCAAAGGGTAAGAGTAAGCTTGCTATATATACTAAGGTGGAGTGGTTGTGGTCTCCCTATGGCATTCAACGTGAGTATGACAGAACCAGGTCCGCAAAATTCATTGCTAATGATTATCAGGTGTCATTGACAAACAAGCAACCGGTGACTTAGAGCAAGATGCTTTGGATCTTGTAGATCTCGTGAGCGAGCAAGTGCGTAGGCTCGGTGCACACAGCCGAACCAAGAAAGCCATTACAATCTTCGGTCACGTTGGCCGTCAGAGCACCGTATCACAACTAGGCGAGTCAGACTTCAAGATAGAGATTCGAAATCCTCGCACTCAGAGGACCTTGGTCCAACTTCTATTTGAGACGCTCGTCAGCTTCCTCGAAAGTGCCGTATCGTCCGTGATGCTTTGGACGTTTGCCCTCTTTCGCTGGGTCTGGAAGACTGCAAATGCTAATTTGATTATCCTTGCCTTGTTAATATCCAGCATGCTGATAAATGGGTTCTATACCTCACGGGATGCCTATGATTGGTGGTACGAAAGAAAAGCCGAGAATTTCATGGCTCGTTTAGGAGTTCACCCGGACCATGTCATGAGCAAAGCTATTTACATGAGGGACATCGATGAAGTAATTGCGAACTCAACCCTCGGACATACAAGCGACGACGTGAGTGACTGCTTCGCCACCTTCCACCAACAAACAATACGGAATGTTGGAACCCCGCTGTCCATCAGTACGTCCGGTCCGAGAGATTCAGCGACAAAGAGCGCAGCCAGACGGCTCCAGCAGACTCGTGAACGTCTGGCTATGCATCGACATGACCTCGTGGTAGGCCTACGCGTGGTGAACAGCATCGAAAGAGAGATCCTCCAGAACGAATGGGAGCGTTGGCTCCGACAAGAACTGAGACGCTGTGACCAAGTCGAAGCCCTACTTGGACAGAGTAGTGACAGTGACAAGGCAGACATGCAGGTGGATCGGACAAGTCAGGCTGCGTTCGCTGATTTATCTGACGATGTCAGGGAGTGGTACGAGAGGTATTGTACAAGCTGCCATCAAGAACAAGACTTAGTCGAAGAGAATCACCGTGTGTATGGCAACTCATGAGTAGGCGCCAGAGATTTGTGGGTCATTTTGTGTATTCCGGGTCCTCTGATATTTGTTTGAACGATACCCTATTGCAATTAACGGGTCTGTTTTGTCTCATATATGTGTT